ATGGCCGATTGCTGCTGCATCAGCTATCACAACACACACTCAAAATGTTTTTTTAATATTTATTCTATAATTAACATGAAAGAAAATATTTTTCAGTATAAAATATATAACCAAAATATACTAATCTCCTGTATGTGTGATTATTCATACTGCAATGTCACATTTTTTTTTTTCACCTGATTTATTTCTTATATTTTTATTTTAAATATTCTTCTTCTCAAAAGATTTTATTCTGTGAAAATAATTAAAATAGTATATTATTTCACAATGCAAGTAAAAGTAAAATATCAGCATAGGTCTCCGCAGTTGAAGTCCTTGTCAAACTACGTTTTGACTATTAATCGAAACTAATAATAATCAATATCTTTTACAATATAAAATGAGAATTCTGCTACAAACATATTTTTTTTTTTTTTTTTTTGCAAGAAAATGAATTTTTAATATAAGAGATTACAAAAGTACTTATATGAAAAAACCTTAGTCTTATACACTGTCTTATAGCATAATACAAACAATACAGTAATACTTTGGTAGCAAAAAAAAAAATTCGTACAATGTTGCCATTGCTTGCTTTGAAATCGTTGAGTTTCTTAATCAAACACTCATAAATGCTTTACAAAATATGAAATAGATAATAAAACAAATTCCGAGTTCCAAATTCAGGACTCCAGATGCTTATATTAGGATGGAGGATGACGTTATTCAAAATTTCATGGCTCTAGGTACCGTTGTTTAATCACAGTGCGAGAAACATTCATACATTTTTCCTCATTATTTAATTTCTTTAAATATACATAGCAATAATATTTGGTGGCAACAATTTGAAAAGTAAAACACCACAAAATGGCAAAATGAAATTAATAGCCCTTCTGGGCTAAAGCTTACTTTTAAAAGTTTCACACTAGTAGTAGTACTGCTACTGAAAAAGTATTATAAAGCTCTTTTATAGTTTTATAATTTTTTTAATTTTTATTTTACAGTAGTCTGAATTTCGCATGATAATGAACGACATTTCTTTTTGTGTTCAAAGTATTGTTCATAAGGTATTCACTATTAGATTTTAAAATAAATGTAATTCCTGCTGTACATAAATCAAGTAGAAGCTTATTGGATGTCTATATTTTTATTAAATGAAGAAGGCTTGTGTTCTTGATAAACTTATTATCTTCTACATTTTTAAAGCACATAATTACAATTTATATCTATAATTTCAGGAATAGTATAAATAACCTTTCTTTCAGTAGAAATTGCGTTCTTGTTTTCCGAATGTGGCCCCAAATACTCTCTCAGTTCATAGCAAATTAAAATAACTATAAATTTTGGCAATCTGAAATATTTCAATGAAAACATCTTCTCACAGAGCAAAAGCATCATATTTTCTATAAATTCACCACCAAATCAGAGATCTATGACTGTATTCTTTGTTTAAATATGAAAAAATCAGTGGCAAAAACACATACAAAGCCATTGTCTAATTAGTACATCAACTGCACAACCCTGATTGACGACGCGGCAACACTTTTTTGCGCGCTTTTGACAACTTCCGTACTCAGAGAATATAGGATATCGGGCAGACCTGTTTGTCACTAGCAGTGACATCTGGCGGCCCACAACTTTGCTGTCGATTCTCGTAGCATAGAATAACCGTTCAGGATTTGGCGACTGGGGATTAAGGGGACCCAGTCTTTAAAAGGTGGAGTATATAAGGTATTTCTCCTGCTTTCTTAGCAAGCCATCAAGGTATAATGGTCAGCACACTCCGTGTGTATTCGAAAGGTCAGAGTCCCAGCGAGGACATTGCTCATAAAATCTCCTGCTTCAGAATAACCTAATGATCCTACAACAGTGATTCTCAACCTTTCTGAAGCTTCCACCCCCTAAGGAGCGAAAATTTTTCAATGCCTTCTTTGTGAAAATCCTGTAATTTATGTATTGAAAAGGGGGGTTACTGAATTAGAAAAGGTAAAAATTCTAAGTAATTTTTTACAGCAGACTTACACACCAAATTTGTTTAATTTGATATTTTTGCCTGGAAGGTAATTGTATTCCTTTTTTAATTGAAATGACTAATCCCAGAAAAAACTGCCTAAGTGATTAATATGTTTAAACATTATAAAACAATAATTAAAAAAAAAAAAACAGAAAATACACTAAAAGAGTAATATCAATGAAACAATCAAGTATGATCAGAGAGATGTCTATGCTTAATGGTTAGAGCTAGTTTCGGAATGTCCGGTACAATATTTTTAGACAGTCCCCTCAAATCCCCTCTTTCCACGATTTGCAGTTGACTTCCCTTTTTTGCAATTAGATCAGTCACATCAATGATTCCTTGCTCAACAAAGTAGGAGAAAAAGAAACAAAATTTTTTTATGATAGTCCACAATCCTGGGTAGAGGCAAGTAATGTTACTTTGAAGCCAAAACTCTGTGAAACAAACTCTGTGAATGGTGATTGTTTCACCATTCTGAAAGCTGGCTTTCAAAGTTTTCATTAGTTGAAAATTCAACCAGTTCCTCCTGAAGCTGAACTTCTGCCATAAGAGGGTTCATGACCCACTGAAGTACTTTCAGGGACTTCCTCAAACCGTTCAGAAAAATCCTTGTGCAAAGACTAAATGTGTTGACAGTAAACACGTATTTCATCAAACAATCAAACAGGATTCACTGCTCTTATGCAGATCAGACACAACTGGAAACTGGCTGAACGTGTTGCGACAAAATTTGGCTTCCACAAAGTGAGTTTTTTTAGGAAGGCAGAAGTAACAGATTTGGCTATGATCAAATTGAAGTCTTCGCCTTGAAGCTGCAAATTAATTCCAATGAATTTTGCGAAAAAATTGGTCATGTAAGCAACATCAATCTTAAATTAGAGCAATCTGTCTTTCAGAGCTACATTTTTCTCTTCAAGGAACTCCAGTACAGAGTCAAAAAGATTCCAGAACCTATTGAGGCAGGCACCTTTGGAAAACCAGTGAACTTCAGTGTGTAGAAGCAAGTGGTTTAATTCTTCATCGTTGTTCTTACATAGCTGTCTGAATAATTTCTTGTTGAGAGGATTATTGTTAATTTTATTCACAATAGAGATGGCATATTGTAAAGACTGATGCAAGTGGTCATTGAGGTTTTTTGGAACTAATTACTATCTATGAATCATGCCGTGAACAGCTAAAATACTTGGTACCTCTTTCTTTAAAAGGGCGATAAACTCATGATGACGACCCACCATTGCAGGATCTCCGTCGGTGGCAACAAACATAATATTTGCAAGAGGAATATTTTTCTCATTAAAATAATCTTTGACAGTATTAAAAATAGATTCAACTTTAGTATCTGCAATCAAAGTTCTTTGCAAAAAGCATGTCTTGAATAATTATTCCTTCCTTCACAAACCGGACATTCGCTTACAGTAAAGCCTCATTAGTATCTGGCAAGGTTGATTCATCAACCTGAACAGAAAATTTGGTGGGTATCAAAAATTTGCATAAAGAAGCTTTCAACACCCTCTGCCATGTCATCAAGTTGTTGTGGCACTGTATCATTGCCTAATAGGGCATTTTTTATAACACTAAATGCTGCTGGATGGTGTAAAACCATTTCTAAAACTTCCTTGTCTTTGTCCATGGTATGAGCTTTCCCCGATTTAGCAATTAATTTTGATATAATATAAAAGGCTATCATGCTATAAAAGGCTTTATGAGGTTGCTAGTAAACCTAAGACAGATGGTGTTTTCAGAAACTTGGCTCTGTTCAGGGGAAAACAAAAATCGTTATTTTGTTTGTCAGGATGAATTTTTTGCAGATTCGTTCTTAGAACTGCATGAGAGGAGCCGATGTTCCTTTTATTGCTGGTACAAATGGTGTAAATCGGATAATCGATTTAATAAATTCTTTGGGGAGGTTCAGTTTGAATGTCAAAGCATTCTCACTGCCCTCTACAGCCTAAAACATGTTCACCCTCCCCTGCCACCCAAAACAAGTTCATCACCCCTCAACATCCTTCCACTGCTCCTTGGGGGGGGGCAGTGCCACACTCCCATCGAGAACCAATGCTCTATGGTATGACACTGCTATCAGAATAAATAAAGTTGTATTTGTGATTAACTTACAGGTGTTCATATCTGCAAACAGCAAATTTATTTGCTCTATATGCTTTCAAACAATCATACTGAATTAATTTTCTTCAGTCCGATCTTCTTGTACTGCTGCAATCAAAGTTATTGCTAAACAGTTAAACATAGTTATTAGGAAACAATATTTTGATTTAGTCACTCATGAACCAATAAACAAGTTTGACCCTTTGACACGTAATTATGATTGGCATCCCATTAGCCATAAAAAAGACTGGATGGATGATTTTTAATGGGTAGATCTGCTTTCTTAAATGAACTTGACATATACCTTTAAGAATTGCAGAAACTAATACATGATGTTGATTCAAAGACTGACAATATTTGGAATGAAACTGAAATAGCAGCAATTACTCCTTAAGAAGAACATATGAATTCCTTTTTGAAACTTTCTATGGACAAATTCTTGTAAACAGTGAAAATATATGGCCTTAATTGGTTTCCATTTCAATACATAATTTAACCTTGATGAATTGTGGAATTTTAAAATTTGAGTGACCCGTGCCCAACAAAGTGGTGAACTTTGATGGTTTTTCTTCCCAGTACAGTAATACACACAGAACAGGAAAAAAGAAAATAGGAATCTCCTAAATCATAGAGTTAAGTTTTTTAAAAAAACTAGTTGAAATTTTATGTTGTGTGTATAACAAAAAATTTAATTTTACAATGCACATTTGAAAGAATAAAAGTTTGACTCACATACATACAAACAAACAATGTAACATTCTAAATTAAAGTATAAAATTCAAAATTAAAATACTACAGTTACTTTACTAGGAGAAAAACTTCATATTTTTCAAAAAGGAAAACTGACTTTTTGAGTTTTAATACATACTTTTCATAATTCATAAAAAGACGCGCAGTGATATACCTTTTCTTCAGATGGCACTGCAAGTTTATCACTGGAAATAAGTTTGCAAACTTGAGAAGGGGATAATGCTAGGAACTCCTCACTTTCCACAACTTCTCTAAAAAGAATAACGAGCAGAAAAAACAAATCATATGATAATATAATTTTTATCACCACTTTTTTTATAAAACTATATGTCGGTAAATAAATGGTAAAAATTTATTCAAATATCTAAAATTACATATTTAATTTCACTGCTTTTGATCAAAAATATTAATAATTAATTATTAACTGAAAAGCAAAACAAAAAAAGAAATTAGGCAACTAAAAATGTTCCTAGAGACCAGTATTAATATAGCATTTATTTTTTTTTTTTTGGATGTGATACTTTTTTCATGTGACAGCTTGATATGCACTAGAAGTTGCTTTAGGCTACCTTTTCATAATTTTGTTTTCAATATTTTTGGCATATATTTTCCTTTCAAATTAATTTTTACAAAAATAATTTACAAACAATTTTCAAAATACAAGGGCAGCAGCTTGGAAAAGTAAACATCAAAATTACACACATTTCCTGACTCTTCCAGATTTTGACTAAAATATTTGAAGTCCTTAACTGTTCCCTGAATGTTTTAGTTAATTTTCAAATTCCCTGACTTTTTATGGTTTTCCAGGTAGTGTTACCCTGTTAAAAGTTAAAAAAAAAAAAAAAATGTCATTAAGGAAAATAATTATTTTGAGACATAACAAAATTTAGACCTTTAACTTGCCTAAATCAATATACGCAGGAAGAAGAAAAAAAAAAAAAAAAAAAAAAAAAAAAAAACAACCTTAATGTTTATTTTAAGGGGAAAAAACTGACGACTTTAACTCAACTTTAAAATCAAAATACGCAAAGAAGAAAAAAAAAAAAAAAAAAAAAAAAGATTTTCATCATAAATTTTGAAATATTTACTCATCTTAAGTTAAAATAGTTTTAAGTAATTTTCAATGTTGTTACAAAATCTGAATTTTAAAGTAAAATTCTTAATTAAAACTGACATTTTTTTATTCCATTTTACAGAGTATTTCAATATGCTTATTTGAATTTAACTGAATTCTTTCATTAAAATCAGGTTTTAGACTTTACAGTAATTTGTAAGTATAAAATTTTATACAAATTTATTCTCGGTCACACCATTAAATAATCTGCTAAGCTAGCAAAATTTTATTTCTAATTAATGAATTCTAATGAATTAGTCACTTAAAAAGTAAGAAATTTAATGTGTTTAATTTATATTTTAATGAAGAAAGTAAAACAGGAAGTGGTTTTTAACCTTCCAGCACGTGCTATGCACAAAATTTACAACAAATTCAGTTTTTTATGCACATTTTTTGCATATCGAAGCTGATATGTCTGAATGTCATTTCTATTCCACGTTTCTACCCTTCCCCACATCATGGAATGTGCCAACAGGAAGTCATTTTATTTATTTATTTTTTTACTGGGCATTTGTGCTACGTGGCAGCTTTTTTGTAAAAGTTACAACACATGTGTGTTCTTGGGTGAAAATTCAGTAAATATTGCTTTTCTCAAATATTTTGTAATTTTGTGTTATTAATTGACATGTATTATTTTAATTTGAATACATTTGGCTCAGTAAATTTTATATCAATTTTCATGGCAAAAAAATATGTGCAAACCACTGATTTTTGCTCACATTCTTCAAGAATTACGTGATGAAGAAAAGGAGACAATGGAAACCTTGGATGGGGACATAGCGATTTCTTTTTTTTCTTTCATTTCTATTTTAGAAATAAATAAAATATAAAGTTAGTTAAAGTTTTTGTAACCAGGAAGAAGTAAATTTCAGAAGTAAGTATGCTGACTTACTTTTTTTTCCTACCAAAGAATTTTCCTTTTTTATTTGTCCATACTTTCCTTTGATGGAACATTAAAATTAGCTTCAAGTTTAGAATAATTATTAAATAATAAATTTAAAAATGTTCTACAATGAAATACATCATTGTATTTCCATCTCATTAACATAGAACTTTAAAAATTTACTTATATTTGAATGTGATATCATTTGTATTTTGCAATAATAAAATTAATATTTTATTTCTTAACAAATTTATTATCAATATTCACTCATTTCTGTCATTCTTCGTGCCAAAAACGGTAAAATATCAGATGTCATAAAAAGTATTACGCGTGCGTGCTCATGTAAAATTGTCAAGTGTTCGCGCTGAAAGGTTAAGTCAGAATTTGATTTTTGAGCAACAGAAAGAGAGAAATTAATAATTTGTCTAATTCAAAAAATGGGGAAAATTTTCCTGCTAAAAAGTTTTAACTTCTTTTAAGGCTTTAAAATAGTACTTTTAAGTAAAAAAAAAAGAGAATGACTCTTAAGAATTGCTGGACTTCTGTGCAAAACTCTGGGAAAGTGAATTAATGATGAGTTTGAGAAAAAAATGGATTGCATACCAAACCAAAATATTTTTTTAACTGAATTGAAATCCATAAAAACAAAAGAAAAAAAAGTTTAGTTTTTCTAAGTATGCCAAAATTTTTCATCATGATCAGTATTTCCGAGGCAAAATAAACACTGATACTGAAAGTGACTAATGATCATATGCTCTAAGCCTGTTATAAATTGAGCAAAAGTTGCTGAAACTTAGGTACAACATTTTTAAAAAGTCTAATTAAAGTCAGATGTTCCAGACAGATGGACATCCTTTTTGATTTAGTTATAGAAAGAACTGAGGCTCAAATGGTTTTTGATATATTTATTTTCCTGACCAGAAAAGCAAAATGTAGTTTTGCAGATTTTGAAAAAAGCATATAGATTTCAGCAGTTAAATGGAACCAGTGGTCAGTGGTAGCCTGCAATTGTCTTATGTCAAATGATGGATCTCAACAGTGTTGGATTCTACCTGAAGAATGGCAGCCAAGTCTTGTTATAGGCATAGCAGATCATCTAGATGGAACCACTGGAAAGCAGTAGCCATTAATCATTCATGTTAGTTCCAGCTGCAAGACATGGTGATGAAAAAAGTCCTGTCCAAATTGGTAAGCTAAAGATTTTATGACTAACTTGATAAAAAGCAATGAACTGTGCTTCCTTGTAGCATTATCTCTGATATATGAATTTTAGTTTTGCCATATGGACTGTTATCTTTATAAATGCTCAAAAAAAAAAAAAAAAAAAAAGACTCCTTAAAATTTTAATGTTAAATGCAAGTCTTGGTCTACATGTAAGTATCCCTTCAATCTCAATAACTCAAAAAAGGAGGTTTGAGGCACTTTATAATTATATTTCATAGAGTTAGCTGCATTGGTCACATTAAACCAAACTTCTTAAAGCAAACTGTAAGGAAAAATGCCACAGGCTCTACAAGTACCATGGAGAACTATAATACAGAAAAAGAAAGTCATTGTGAAAAACATTTTAAATCTCACAAAGACGTATTCCAAACTGAGATGAAACTTAGCCAAAAAGCAAAGGGTAACACATATTTTTAACATAATGCAGTCATTTTGAAAACAATAAATGTTACTTATCCATAATGCACACATTTCACAATTTAACAATTTTACCACATTTATCATTTTCTTTTATCCTCTTAAAAAACAATAGATTAAGGTTCAGTTTTAATATATTTTTGATAAATAAGACTATTTCTTTGGCTGTTTGATGTTTAAAAAATATACATTTCTTACGTTCACTTAACTTTTAAAAATAAAATATGAAACACAAAATTTACACCAATACTTACACAAAATGCTGCTCGGTATAGGAATCTGCATAATTCAGCAACTCTAAGCAACCATGAAGGTCTGCAAATGCACGAATACCAAGGCAGTTGGAAGGGTGTAGCTGACCTTGTAAAAACTCACAACACGCATCCCGAACATCTGTCAGTTGTAAGAGGTGAGCAGCAGGTAAAAGAACCTAGCATTTAACAAACAAACTAGCATAAGGAGAATGAAATTATCAGTATTATACAAAAATTATCAAATTTTAATTGCTTAGTATTTAGTATTTTTAAGTAAACTCGCTTGGTCAAATAAGGGGAGACACAAAGAGATAGGTCTACTTTTAGTTGAACTGCTTTGAGGCATTTTTAAAGGAAACACTGACTTAGATTATGCATAAAGAAAATTATGAAAAGCAGTATGACCAACAACATAGAAAATCAATCTTGGGATAAAACTATTGTTCAATAATTTTACAGAAGTTACAGATGACAATATTGTTTAAAAACAATTTAAAAATTTAAATGTTCATGATATACATAATTTAGTACATATCAATGTAATATTGTTTGTATATATTTTTACATAGCTATAATTTCAGTAAACCCTCTTGCAGAAAATGCTTCCTTAAGACAACTATCCTGAAAGTGACAGGCTTTGCAAAAACATCAGTATTCAATATGGACTTTCCAAGACAAACATCTTTACAGAAACGAAAATTATTTTTAACCTCAGATACCGACAACTTTGATAACTTCAGCTCACAACTTTAATAAAATGTCCTTTGGACCAAACTGAGACCTTCAAATAATATTTGAAATTAACTATTTCAAAAGTGTCTGAAGCCTTTTAAGAGAAATTGTAACAAAAATCATTACTATTAAAAAGTGCTATGTTTTAAATTTCGGTACAAAAAATTACGAAACATACAAAAAATAAGAAACCTTACGAAATAAAACATATTTTCTGTTTCTAAATGTATCATTATCAAAGTATTACTGCTCTCTTTTGACTTTTATTTTCAGAACGTTCTTTTATGTAGGACAAAACACTGTAGTTTTCATCAATCAAAAAGAATATAAAATTTTAAATAATCTTGCATTTTAACAAAAGTAGCCGAGTAAAAGTTATCACAACATTTTCAGATATGGACTTAATATTCCCTTTTAATGGTCAAACTTTATATTTCCATCATTTTAAAATGCCATGTTATTTAAATATTGAAATAAATTTAATCACACTAAACCTAAATTTACCTAAAGCTATAATTAATAATTAAATATTATGCAACTTTAAAATAAAACAAATAAGTAAATAAAAATAAGATTTTAAATTAAAATTGATAATTTCCATGTTTAGGAAAACTTTACAATAGATAATGAAGCAAAGACGCAGAATAAGATTGTAGATTAACAAAGAAAAAAATTATCTAAAATGCTAAAATAAATCTGTTTTAATAGACACAAGTCAAAAGAAGCATGCAAATGAATTTTGAAATTTTTTGTTTCATTACTTAAGACAGATGTAAAGAAAATTGTAATAACCAATTTTCTACTAACATGAAATTGCAGGAAAAATATTAACATCCTGTTTGCAGTAGTTAATTTGAAATTAAGAGCTAATAAAAATTTATAATTATACAAATATATAAGAGAGAATGCAAAAAGATAATTAATAATAACCTGAACATTATCTTCAGTGACTTGTATTTCAGAAGAATACACATAATCTACTAAAAGTTGCAAAGCTTGTCCATCAACACCTTGTATAGTAATCTTTTCTGCTTTGCTTTCAGTAAAACTTGTGAACATAGCATAAAAATAAGGACTGCAAGAAGCTAACACCATCTTATGTGCAGCTATTTCAACTCCATCAGCCACTAAAGTGACATCACACAACAGGTTTTGTCTGAAAATGCAATTAAAAATATTAAATATATAACTTTTGATTTTTAGTTATGCAGTATGTTAATTTTTAGTAATTTTCTACCTACAAATTAAATGTTGCAAACAGAAGTAATCTAAGAACTCAAAGTTTACAATATAATTTAGAAAACAGTTTACAAATATAACTGTAAAAAATTATATTTTTACATAAATGTAAGATATTTTTTCTTTGTCTGCATCCTCCCAATGTCATCACTCATCAGAACTGCGATGTTTTTCTCAATGTCATCACTCGTCAGAACTATGATGTTTTTAATAAACCAATAGTTATCCAAATCCAATAATAATGGTAACATATGACTCACATGTGTTTGCGGTTTTACATATTTTATATTTAATATCACCTTATTGTTATGCTTTCTTCTTTTCTCCGGGCTAGTGCTTTTTTATTTTTAAGTCTTTATAATTTGTAGCGGGACTGTGGAGTTTGCCAGCTGATGGCAAGATTGCCACTCAAACAAGAGAATGAAATTCCCTAACTTTTCCAGATGTGTTTTAAGAAAATTACAGTCTATTAGTGTAGTGTGTGTAGGCTGTGCTGAGAGGTAAGTTAATTATAGTACCATTTGAAAACACAAAAATTTCCAATTACATATGACATATATATATATATATCCCACAAAGCATTTATTATAGCTATAATAAGAGTTCTTTTCTGCACTGAAGATTGAGATTAGATTCTGCTAAATCTATATCAAAAAATGTCTTTTTTTTTTTTTTTTTCTTTTTTTTTTTAAGACATTTTGCAGCTTAAAGAAAGAAAGAAATCTATTTCATGATATTTTAAAATAAATTCAGGTATTTCATATTTATTTAGCAGTGTACATAAGCAAAAAATATGTGCATTAAATTTCATGATGGTATGTTATACTGCTAGAATTAGTTTCAAGAGTATGACAGAGAAAATTGCCTAAAATTTGAAAGTAATATTAACTAATAATAAATAAATTTAGGTGGATGAAGCCACATTAAATGATAAAGTTAAAATAAAGTTAATTACCTAAAGATTAAAAGTTGAATTACAATAATCAATGATATTTTGGCTAATATAGTATATTAAATGGTTAGTCTTGATAACAGATTACTATTTTTTTATTTTACTGCAAAGTGACAAATAAGGCATTTATTAAAAAAAAAAAAAAAAAAAAAAAAAAAAAAGGTTTTTAAAAGATTTTGTGGTAAAATCCTAGCATACGGTACAGCCTCGGCACCATTTTGAAAATTGTCAGCAACACCAAAATGACTCATATACTGCTCATCATAAAATGTCCAGTTTAAAACTCATCACAATGTCGCCAAATCCTGTGTGTACCGTATCGTAGAATTAAACAGATTTTTTTTATATACGAGAATGGGAAGGTATTTTCTTTTGCTCAACATAGAATGTACAAGTGTATGCGAGTCTCTCGATTCTCAAAGTTACTAGAAACTTGCTTTGCCTTTCTAAAAGACATTCTGATTGGAGCTGCGAAAACTGGCTCTACGGTAGCTACCCGAATAATACTTACACCATACATAATTCGCCAAGAAAGTGACCACTTCCAACCTCTGTGCAAAAATCTTTTTTGGAGGGATCACTCTATGAAATTCCCTGACTTTTCCAGATTTTGACTAAAGTATTTAAATTCCCTGACATTTTTGGTCAAGTTTCGAATTCCTTGACTTTTCAGGTAGCGTTGGCAACAATGTGATGGGAAAGGAAACATTGTGTTCCTTTATAAATATGGTGATCTGTCCAACATCGGAAGAACGCAAAAATTCACACTGTTTATGAACAGAACAGTGCCTGTACACCATAAAGATAGCAAAAGAAAAATTTTCTGGCAATAAGTCAGCAACTTTTCATGGGAATATGAACAATCAGAAAGTATGAAATAAATATTTTGCACTAAAATTCATATTTTTACGACATGCACATGTTCGATAAAGGGTTAATAAAATTTATTCTCAGCAAAAGAAATATAACAGAACAATGGAATTTTCCTCAGAGATATTCATACAAGTACACAATATCATTCAATATAATCAGTAGTTATACTCCAAACAAAGAAAAACGTTAGAATAAACACAATGCAAAGAGAAAGCTAATCCGATCTCAAGCTGAACTCACAAAAATAACAGCAGCAGCTAACTAAACAACTGAGCTGGGATGTCTCTCTCTGGCATTTTATAGCTTTCAATCGGTCGCAAGAAATTTCTGGTAATTTCTTTGCTTCTCTAGTTTTTGGAAACCAACAATAGCATGAAATTATGGTTACAGCTACCACAGTAGTCAATAACATTTATTCAATTTCAATACAAATTTAAGAGATACACACTTTCAATGTCCACTCCAAATATTTGCGTGTTCCTATATTTTTACTTTTCCAGCGTAGCTTTCTCTTAAAAGTTGTCCTGCACTGCATCGCATGGGAAAATAAAACTATTTTAATTAGAATTCTACTAAAATTAGCTATCTAAACACAAAATTTGTAACACTATATTTTGAAGACCTCAGCAAAAGTACTTAGAATTTTATGCAGCTAAGTCCATATGACAACAACTGCATCAACAAAACACCGACTCTGATGATACCATGAAGCTCA